CTCTCTCGTTCTGTCTCTTGCGGCATCTTGCCGGCCCCCGCCCCGCTTGTCCACGGAGTGCAGGAACACACCCTGTTACCCGAGCGTCGGATTGGGGACCCGGGGGGGGGGGGGCCGAGTCTGCCTGGGAATATGTCGAGTGTGTTGGTGAAAAGTGGTGAGCGCCCCTCATTTGCGCGCTCTGGGAATACTGCCCCGGGGCCCGGCAGCCAAGACACTGGGGCTTAGCGTCCAACCGACTCGCGTCTCGGACAGGGCGAAGGAGCGTACTCAACTTCGGGGGCCGGGGGCCGGGGGGGCGGTTGGATACAACAGGAGTCTGCCTTCCGGACCCCTGTCTCGCCACGCTGTTGTGTGGGCTCGTCCCTGGCTGGGTGCACTCCTTGTCTCTCTGTTGCAAGTCCCCACCCGGGACCCGCGGCCATTCCCTCTTTCTCGGTCGCTGTCTGTCCCTTTGTCTCCGCGCCTCTGTCGCTCGCCCTCTGTTTGTCGGAGCCAACATGAGCGGTGGCAGCGGGTGGGGGGGGGGGGGGGGGGGGCGGCGCTGATCTGCCACCCCGGGGTCCCTGCGAGCACATTGCGTGCTGGCCATCCAGTGGGAGGTGCGGGCGCGGGCGCACACGCGGGGGCCGCACCGCCCCGCACGCTAGGGACCCATCTTGGCGTATGAAAATGCGCCCAGCTCAGCGACGTTGGGCACGGGGGCCCGGGCCCGGTTCTTATGACGGAACAGACTGCTACTACTACCGAATGGAACCCATGTGTGTGTGCGCTTCTGAGACCGCCAGGGGAAGATCAAATGGTTGGAGGCGCAGGAGCTGCGTTTGACTGGCAGCGCGCCGGGCGCGGCCGGGGGAGAGGAAAAAAAAACGGGGCAGACGCCCAGGCACAAGAGACCCATGGGGCACGGCGAAACACTGTTGGGAGCACAATTGACGTCCCCCTGTGGGCCACATGGGAAAGGCGGCTAAATTTGATGGCGTGCTGGCCCGCTGCCCAAGGACGGCGGGGGCGGGGGTGGGGGCGGGGGGGGGCGAAGGGCGGGGGGGGGGGGGGGGGGGACGGAGTAGCGGCAGGGCTCCGGGGGCGTGTGTTGGTGTGTATGTATGTATGTATGTTTGTGTGTGTGTGTCTGTGTGTGTGTGTGTGTGCGTGCGCGCGGGTGTATGTGCACAGGTGTGTGTATGTGTTTGTGTTGGCCCCTCGTCCCCAGGCCCCGCCCCCCGGCGTCTTGGTCGGGGGTGGCAATCCTCGGGTGCTGAGGCCCCTGCAAGGGCGGGCGCGGGCGCCGGCGCGGGCGCCGGGGGGCGCGGGGGCGCAGGGGCGCGGTGCGTTGTTTGTTCATCTCCGGCTGGGCGACCCGCCGGCGGGTGTATGGCGGATGTTTACCATAAGCCGAGGGCGGGGCGGCTAATTTTCCGGCCTTCAGCTCGGCGCGTTCAACTTGGCAGCGGTGGTGGCGGCGGCGGGGGGGGGGGGCGGGGGGAGGAGCGCAGCATGCGGGTATCCCCTTTCCGCGTACCCTCTCGGGGCACCGCTGTAAAGGCGGGCCATAGCTAGCTGACCGCCGCGTGTCCGGACTAGGGGCTTATGGTGTTGCCACTCCGCTGGCCAGTCAACACCGAGGGCATTTCCGAGGGCCGGCTGCACAGCGATATCCCGGTATACGCGGGCGGCATGGGGTGAGACGTTCGTGGGTGTGTGTGTGTGTGCTTGCGCCCGCGCTCGCATTAGCAAACACCGGCCTCCCCCGCACACGGGGCGGGCTCCTGCTCGACCGCGGCCGGAGGCGAGTGTCCACACACGTTGATATGTACACACGTGCGGGGGAAAACACCGGCGTGTGCGCGGGTGGGAGGCATGCCCTGGCGTGAACACATCCGCGGAAGCTCCCCCCCCCCCTCCCCCGCCACTGGTGGCCGTACATGCAGATGCACATTCATGCATGCTTGCGTCTGCATACATGGGCGCATCCACGCGCAAGCGCACACACACACACACGAGCTTTTGCCGGGAGCTCCGGAGGGTACAAGGGGGCACTTCGCCTCGTCCCAAGACACGAGGGCGACGTACAGACACACACACACACACACACAAGGGCCGGCAGTGGGGGCGCTGGGCGCCAGCAAGTGGGCCGGCCGCCGCCCCCCAAGCAGCCGGCCGCCAGCCTCGCCGGACCGTCGACAGCCCGGGCGGTGGTGCCCCGGTGACCGTCGGAGGAGAGGAGGGGGGGGGGGGAGGAAGCCCAGGGAGGGGCCGGACAACGCCCGCTCCGGCGAATGACCATTCCTCCCCCCGGGTCCGAGAGGCCCGCGACTGCGCACCTGGCGAAGGACCCGGACCCGGTGGCGAGGGGCGCGCGGCTTGGATGTGCGCGCTTTTCCGGCGGATGTCGACATCTCCCTCATTTATTGGCCAGCGAGTGGGGCATTCTCTGGGCCCGTTACTCCGGGCCCGGCCCCCGCAACCCCCGCCGGCATACGGGGGCCGTCGGCCAGCCCCCAAGCGCCACTACCCCGGCCCTTCGAAGTTCATGCTCTGGGCCCCCCCTGGCTGGGCGCTTGCGTCGCCGGCGGCACCGAGCACGCCTGTATGGATGGCCGGCACATGCCGGGGTGATCGCCCGTGTCTGATCGACGCTGACGAAGCGGCGGGGTTGATGGCGTACGCCGGTACACACGGGGGGGCAGGGAGCGCCCCGGCCCCCCCTCCCCCCCCCCCCTCCAAACTGAACATGCGCCTTGTTTTTCAAGCCCCCGCCCCTGTGGAACCGACGACATCCCCGGACCCGGGGGAGCGATCGACCGACTCCGAGTATTGGGGCCGCAGTTTGCCATATCCAGTCTGGGCGCCGTTCCGCCGGCCGACCCTGAGAAGGGCGAATTTTTCGCACCACAACATGTGTGATCGGTCGCCACCGCATGGAGTGCAGCCCATGAGTGTGCGTCGCGTAGCCTTCTCGCGTTGTCCCTCTCTCTCTCTCTCTCTGTCTCTTGTTCGCGCTCTCTCGCTGTGTCTGGATGTTTTCCTCCCTCTCCCTTTCCGAGTCCCGTCTCGGGGGCGAGAGAGAGAGACAGAGAGAAGGAGGGAAAGGCGGAGAAAAGACGGCTGCCGCAGGCCCATTTGAGGGCCACTCGCCGCCATAGCAATGACTGGGGGGGGGGGGGGCAGGCACACGGGGCCAAGGACACAGGAGACACTCGGGCCAAGAGAGGGCACCCGGGCATAGAGTCGCGCGAGGGACCCGCCCGGCCGGGGCGGGGGGGAGGCGGAGTGCGATTCAACGTCTGCAGCGGTCGCGGCCGGTGTGCCTCGCCCGCCGGTCGGTTCCCCCGGGGTCTGCCGTTCCGCCCTGGGGTCTGCCATTCCACCCCAACCAGCCAAGACCGCGGCTTGGCCCTCAAGCGGCTCGGCGGTTGGAGCCTATTTCCCGAGCGGTGGATCCGACCGAGATCTTGCTAGAAGGGCAACAAACGCGCCATCGGCGGCCCGGCGCTCGAATGCCGGTCGTGCGGTGGCAGGCCCGCCGAGCACGCAATTCCCAGGCGCACTCGCTCGGCCGCTCGCCGGGTTTGGGGAGTCGTCGTGACAGACGGGCCTGGATGGCGCCACGCGGGTGAGGCCCCTGCCGGGTGGGCCGGTGTTCCGGCCCCTCGCTGAGGGTTGAACAAAAAGGACGGGGGACACAGAGGGGGCAAATCGGCGTGCCTCCCGGTTCCAGGGCGCGGATTTCTTGGAAAAGGTGCCCATGATCCAATGGCCTAGCTCCCGGAGAGCCGGGCTCGCGGGCGGCGTGGCCTGTGCATACCTGACCGCCGGGGCCGGGGCCGGGGGCGGGCCGGCGGGACAGCCAAACAGCAAGTCCTCCCGTCCGTCTCCCGGCCTCCGGGCCCAGCGTCAGGCTCTCTCTCTCTCTCTGTCTCTCTTTCTCCCTTGTTCTCTCTGTCATTGTCTCTCTGCCTCTCTCGCTCTCTGTCTCTCTCGCTCTCTCTCGCTCTCTCGCTCTCTCTCCCTCTCTCTCTCTCTCTCTCTCTCTCTCTCTCTCTCTCTCTCTTTTCGCTCTCTCCGCCTCCCTGGCCCAAAATGAAGGGTGCTTTGCAAGTGGGCCAGGGGGGGGCGCATTTCGCTGTTGTTCATCTCGTGCTAACCGCATCTGGGAACGTGAGGTATTCGTCCGGCCATAAATTGGCCCCCTTCCCTCGTCGCCCCAGGGAGGGGGGATGTCCCTTACGCCCGTCCCTTCTTCGGGCGGGGCGTATCTCGGCTTGCCGCCGCCCCAAGGCACTGGTCGTCCTCCGCCCCGTCGGGGACACGCGATCGCTTCTCGCATGGGCTCAACTGTGTGCCCTGGGGGAGCCCCCTCTTCCCGGCCGGGCCAACACCAGGCTGGCCGACGACCATTTACTAGGCATGCACTGGAAGCTCCCAAACACATGGCCACGCAGAGGGGGGGGACCAAGATACCGAGAGGGAGAAAGGGCGGGAGAGCGGGGACCGGGAAGCGCCGGCCAGGCAGCGGGAGCCGGAGCGACGGCCGAAGCGGAGGGGCGGCGCAACCCCTCGCGGCCCTCCGCAGCACACCAAAGCGACGAGGGACGGGGGTCGGGGGGGTCGGAGGGCACGCAGGGGGGCCATCTGCCCAGGGGTCGTTGCGCTGGGCTGTTTCACTGGGCTCTCTCTCTCTCTCTCCCTCTCTCTCTCTCTCGGGGGGAGGGGCGAGCGGAGGAGGCACCGGCCAGAAGGCACGGAGGGACCCCGACGTTGGAAGGTGCACAGGGAGGGCGGAAAACTGTACACAATACACCAGCCAACGAATCTCGCGCCCAAGTAGTCCCAACGATTGGCGCATTGATCCAAATCGGGAAACACCCCCGAGCCGGGGGGATGGCCGAACACAAGAATCCGCGCCCCGGGGCCGTGTATTTTATTTTCCGGTCTGCACGTGGGCTCATTTGGGCCGAGCCTGGGGCCATGCGTGGGCACCTGACACGCTTGCCCACCCGACGGGGCCGCTCGGCACGGGCCCCCCCCCCCC